CAGCACCCTGGAAAGCAGGCCCCGCCCCCAGTGTTTGAGCCAGAGGTGCAACCAGGATTTTCGGCTAAGGGGCAGGGCCAGCTTACCTAAATTTGGGTGGCATTGTGACCTGGTGCATGAGGTCCAATGCCACTCAAATCTGACCCAGCTGCCCCGTCATACAATGCCTCCCTCGGGGGGCATCTCCTCCCCCCAGACTCTGAAGAATGGGGGCATTGCTCCTGCACCACCACTCAAAGTTGCCCCCCCCCATTGAAAACAAACAGCGCCCCTGCTCAGCTCTCTGGGTGTAAATCTGGAAGCCAGAAGAGTTGTTCTGGATCCACTGCACAGAGAACTGGGAGCAATAGGTTATTCCCCATTTACACAAGGGGAGAGGAGAATCAGACCCCCTGGAGTTACTCTGGATTTACACTGGAGTGAGTGAAAGGGAAATCAGGATCCATGGAGTCACTCCAGATACACACTAGCACAAGCGGAGAATCCGCTCCAGTGGGGTTACTCTGGACTCACACCATGTGAGTAAGGAGAAGCAAGTCTCTGAACAAAAGGGACTGTTTCTCCTCCCGCTGGGTTAGAGTGCTCTCAGCTATGCTGGTGTGGATCTGGAGTAACTCCAGATCAGTGTCAGGGGAGTTACTCAGGATTTACACCAGCCTAACTGAGAGAAGAAGCCTTCCCACTTCCTCACTGGGTTGCAAATCAGGAGCAGCTCCAGTGAAATCAAGAGACCCCATTCTCATCTCACTTACTTCAGATTAACACTTGATGAACCCCAGCAGAGTGTCTCCTGATTGTCCTCTCACTCACAGCTGGTGTCACTCATCCCCAGTGCAATTACACCAAGGATCATCTAGTGGGTATTAGCTCTGTACTCAGGGGCCCAGACCCCTGTGTGTGGTAAATGGAACTTGCTCCATTGGAGTCAATGGGCCAGATCCCTATTCAGTGGAGTGACACTAATTTGCACCAGCTGAGGATCTGGCCCAGTAATTTTTTTTTGCGGGGTGGGGGACCATAACAGTTCTTACTGCCAGGGTTGGCCAGTTCTACCCCACTCCTAGGCTAGGAGAATTAATCAGCTGCTGCCTGGCTCATTCCAAAGGTAGCTAAATAACGCTCTGTTCCTCCCAGCTAGATAAGTCCCCGGTGTATAAAGGAAGCATCCAGAGAGGGAAATAACCCACAGCAGGGATTTCCCCCTGTGCCAGCTCAGAGCTCTGATCCACCGGTGGAACGATTTATAGCTCGACATTCCTGCCTGTTATTTCCTGCAGTGGCTTCTTTGGTTAGCAGGGTCTGGGTGGGGTTTTCACCTTGATCTGTTTTTCACCCTGACTGAGAGGAAGAGGAGACATTGTTAATATCCCAGCAGCCCCAGGGGCAGGCGCCAGTGGAGTCCTGGGCTTGAACTGGGACCAGGTGCTAGCCAGCCAGAAGACCCTGCGCTAACTGTGAAGGGACCTGACATTTGGGGTCTCTGGGATCCCATTGGAAACCAGACCCCAAGCTGCAGATAGGGGTTTGTAAATGCTGTATACTGGGGCCCTCACTGGGGTTAAGGCTGCTTTAAACCCCCCATATCTGGGGCCCTGCCTCCCCGTGTGGCACATATGCCCCCATCACACCTCCCCACTGCTCCACCTGAATCTCACACACAATGGCTCAGCCGTTGTTCCTTCTGTCACTGTGGAGCCAGGACCCTCCTGCCCTGCCCCAGCCTTGTATAGCTGCCCAGTGAGGTTTGGTTCCATGCACACACCCCTAGGGAGTATTAGCACCTGCAAATTCATTGAAGACATGCAGATTAGCTCAGGGCAGGGCCGGCGCTTCCACTAGGCGACCCTAGGATTTGGGGGGCGGAAATTCAGCAGCGGGGGGTCCTTCTGCTCCAGAAATTCAGCGACGGGTCCTTCACTTGCTCCGGGACCCACCGCCGAAGAGTCCCGAAGACGTGGAGCAGAAGGACCCCTGCCGCCAAAGACCCCAGACGAATGCTCAGACGAGGAGCGCTGCCGCCTAGGGTGGCAAAAATCCTGGCGCCGCTCCTGGCTCAGGGGATCATTTGCATAAAATGTCACATGAGGAGCTGCACAAAACTTGGCAGCTGTGGGTAAGTTAGAGCTGCCTTGTGGCTGCTCTAACTCGTGCTCTTCCTCTGAGCCCCAGGAGCCATAGGAGCACAGCCACAGCTCAGTGTGCTCTGGCTACGCTTCGGATCCACCCCACGCCTGTGCTGGGAGCAGGGTGGGTGCAGAGTCCTTATGCCAGCCAGGACGGACCCTCTGCAGGAGTGAGGATCACACCCACTTTACACTGCCAGAACGGCCCTTTGGGTCCAGCCACAATGGCGATAGCCGGCAGGTTCCCGGCCTGTATCGCTGCAGGTGACAAGAGTTGCCTCCCAGTAAGTATGGCAGCAGCTGATTTGATTCTAGCTGGCTTGCCCACATCTATCTCACAATGCAGTGCTTTACCTAGAAGACCATGCTGCCAACTGCAGTGCTGGGCCTGGGCACCATGGGACAAGTGTGCTGGTACAAATGCAACTCAAAGTCCCCAGCTCTTAGTGACAGACCCTAGAGCCTGGACCCAAAAGTCCTAGATCTCTCTCCCCTCCCAGAGCCAGGGAGAGAACCCAAGAGTCCAGGCTCTACCCAGTAAACCCCACTCCCCTCAGAGCTGGGCATAGAACACAGGAGTCCTGGCTCCCAGCTGCCTGGCTCTACCCACTAGACCCTATTCCCCCCCTCAGAGCTGGGGAATGAACCAGGTGTTCTCACTCAGACAGACATTCCCAATCAGGAACAATCAACATGGATTCACCAAGGGCAAGTCATGCCTGACCAACCTGATTGCCTTCTATGATGAGATAACTGGCTCTGTGGATATGGGGAAAGCGGTGAATGTGATATATCTTGACTTTAGCAAAGCTTTTGCTACAGTCTCCCACAGTATTCTTGCCATCAAGTTAAAGTAGTATGGATTGGATGAATGGACTATAAGGTGGATAGAAAGCTGGCTAGATTGTCAGGCTCAACGGGTAGCGATCAAGGGCTCAATGTCTAGTTGGCAGAGTTCCCCAGGGGTTGGTCCTGGGGCTGGTTTTGTTCAGCATCTTCATTAACGATCTGGATGATGGGATGAATTGCACCCTCAGCAAGTTCACAGATGACACTAAACTGCGAGGAAAGGTAGATATGCTGGAGGGTAGGGATAGGGTCCAGAGTGACCTAGATAAATTGGAGGATTGGGCCAAAAGAAATCTGATGAGGTTCAACAAGGACAAGCGCAGTGTCCTGCACTTAGGATGGAAGAATCCCATGCACTGCTACAGGCTGGAGACTGACTGGCTAAACAGC